GGCCGGAGTTCCGGGCTATGGCTTCTGCACTGGCGATCACCGGCACACCGGTGTCCATACCGCAGTTGGCCGATTACCTCCACGCGCAGCAATTCATCCACGAGGATGATTTTCCGACATACAAACCAGCAACAGCGAGCGGACCTCCCTCGGCGTTGTACGCGGATCGGGGTCGACGTCAACATGGAGACGACGGCCGGTAGTCACGTGGTGGCGGAGGTCGTGGCAGCAACCAGCGCCATGGCAGAGGAGGTCGTGGCCGGAATGGCAGGTTGCGCTGCCAGATTTGCAGGTTGCAGGGGCACTCCGCTGCCTTTTGTTATCGGCGATACTCCGAGCCTCCGCCATCAGAGGCTCACATAGCTGTCGCAGGTGAAGGATCAGCGCCGGCATCTTCGCTGTCGGTCACGTCTTGGCTGCGGGACACGGGGGCTTCCACGCATGCAACCCCGGATTCCAGCATGATCACACATTCCGAGGACTATCACGGTGACGATACCCTGCGAGTGGGTAATGGCACAGGTTTGGCGATCTCGCGTGTGGGTCATGCAGCAATTCTGTCCGTTAATAAGTCTTTAAAACTATCTAATATTTTGCGTGTCCCTGAACTGTCCGCGTCATTATTATCTGTTAACCGTTTCACTAGAGATAATAATTGTTATTTTGAGTTTCACCCCACCTTTTTTTGTTGTGAAAGACTGCACCACTCAGGCAGTCTTGCTTAGAGGACCAAGCTCGGGGGGCTTATATTCGCTATCCGTTCCCAGTGCACATTATGCGTTTATCTCGGCTCGTGCCACTTCCACGGTCTGGCATCAGTGTCTCGGTCACCCACATGGTCAAGCTCTCCATCGTGTCTTACGGGAGTGCCCCGTTGAGTCAAATAAAGTTGCAATTCCCAAATTATGTTCTCCGTGTCAACTTGGCAAATCTGCCCGATTTCCTTTAGATAGGGTAGTCAAGTTCAATAATAATGTATTCGATCTTATTTTTACTGATATATGGGGCCCCGCGCCAATCATTTCTGCAGATTGATCCCGCTATTTTGTACTTTTCGTAGATGATAACACCCGCTATTGTTGGTATTATCCTCTACGACTCAAAACCGATATATATAAAAGTTTTGACCTTTTTCGGGCGACGGTAGAACGTACGTTTTCACGTTCTATCAAGTCCATTCAATCCAACTTGGGAGGGGAATACCAAAAATTACACAAACTATTCTCCAAATTAGGGATCGTTCATAGACAGTCATGTGCCTATACGCACGAGCAAAACGGTCGTGTTGAACGCCAGCATCGGCACATTGTCGAGACCGGCTTAGCATTAATGGCACAAGCGTCTGTCTCACAACGTTATTGGGACCACGCGTTTGAAACAACCACCTTCCTAATCAATCGTCTTCCGTCTGTGTAACACCCCTTAAAAACATGCTATTTAAAAGCCTTAAACATGCAGATAACCGAACTAAACAACAAACACATCGGAAGACTGGAAGATAGATAGATAGACATAATCCGGAACACGGGGTGTTATGCCACGTTCACCAAAAGGATGAACGCACTGGCAACATCTGCAATGTTTACATCTAAACCCATTGTCTCAAAGTTCTATATCTAAGCTGGCACACAGGCCACAAAACGAAAGGGGGAAGCTATACTAGCAAGCACTAGACCGCGCACTCGTCTAGACATCACTTGAAAGAACACAATAAAACATGGGACGACGCCTGGTCAGCGAATAATGCTGGTAACCCACCAATACATGTGAAATATCATCTACTATACTAATAAGAGCCCAAGAGAGTTAGGCCTATAATGGGTAGAAAAAATGGCGGTTAAATTTTTTAATCAAATGAGTGGCTCAGATTGATCAGATTTTAATTTTTCCTTAATATTTCCTAATTTATCCTTAATGAATATGATTATCCGTTAACTTTTCCGTTAAATATTCTCTTTTCCGTTAATTTCTGTTAGTTCACCGTTAACTTACTCATTGATTTCAATAAGAAAGGTCTTAGGTTCGAACCTCATCCCAATTGGCATAATTAGTATTCTATTTTACTCTTATTAAATTAAAAATAATAATATAGTAGCTACAACAAAAAATAATATATATGCATTTATTTAATTTAGAATTATGTGTCTACAATGTCTTTATTCAAAAAAAAAAAAATTATTCATTGTCAATAAATTAAATAAGAGAAATAATTTCATTAGTTATATTGTCTTTATTTTTCTCTAATATAAAAATTCTTTACATTCAAATTCATCAATTGATTATATTCGCTACATTGTCCATACAATGTCTTTATCAAAAAAAAAAAAAAAGTTATTCATTATCAATAAATTAATTAAGAGAAATAATTTTATTAGTTATATTGTCTTTATTTTTCTCCAATGTAAAAATTCTTTACATTAAAATTCATCAAATGATTATATTCACTACATTGTCTATTGTGTTTTTTTGTGCACTATTTTTTAATTAAATATCAAAGTTATAATACAAAATAATGCTATATATTTATTTCCCAAGTATTTTATTAATACAATGATAAAACTTAAAAAATATAATTAATAAAGCCAATCATATTAACTACTTGGGGGATTTGTTGACAAAAAGAGTATTCAAATCACACAACATATTGAAGTGAGAACTACCCGCAATGTCCTTGTTAATTTGACAATCAGCATTAGCGGGTTAACGTTAGCAGATTATATTAGCGGATTTGACCAGCGAATTATATCAATGATTGGTAAAAAGATATTTGAAAAAATAATTGTTTAGATTAACATGTAAAATGACCAAAGGGTATACATATATTTAATAATAATAATAATAATAATAATAATAATAATAATAATAATAATAATAATAATAATAATAATCATAATAATAATAATAATTGTTTTAAAAATAAAAAATAAAAAATAATAATTAAGCCAATCATATTAACTACTTGGGGGATTTATTATCAAACAGAGTATTGAAATTACACAACAACTTGGAATGGGAAACGACCTCGCAATGTCCTTGTTTGGCAATCAACAGTTAGCTCTTCAATATTAGTATATATTTCATATTTTATGCCCTAATTTTTATTTGCTCTCCCTTATGTCTCGTATTTGGTTTCAACCATACTTATACAATTATTTTATTGACAATTATAATCAATTTTAATGTCCTTGTTTGGCAATCAGCAGTTAGCTCTTCAATATTAGTATATATTTCATATTTTATGCCCTAATTTTTATTTGCTCTCCCTTATGTCCCGTATTTGGTTTCAACCATACTTATACAATTATTTTATTGACAATTATATTTTAATTATATTATCTTGCATTTGTAAACTTAGAATTACCTATTTAAATACGCAAATTCACCATTGAATTATCTATGCATGAATAATTCCAATATAATCTTACCTTGATATACTTTAAAGTACTTATTAAAAAAAAAACATTGGGCATTATCACAATCGCGCAATGCGCGTAAAAAACTAGTACATAGATAAGATATAAGTTGTAAAGCCATTTTCGAAACGGAATACATATATATAAGTACAAAACCAAGAGTAATTGTCAACACAAGACTCAACACTCTCAACAAGAACACGGGAACACATCCCAAGACCACAAAGAACAACACGACTCATAAGAAGTCTCAAGGTATGATCTATCACCACACAATAGATCAAAACCCGACATGCATAACGCAAAGGAATAAGACTCACCCACGGCACCACATGCAAGGCAACACTTGCCCATGTGACTACACACGTCACAAGAAGAGAATTCAGAACAACGGCTACGCAAGCCCTCGTGACATCACCCATCACGAGTTGATATGCCTTCCTTATGCCCGGTTCCAACCTTATTGCTACCCCCAACCTTGTATCTTCATCCAACCATTACCTCCAGGACCCCTGTACTTTCTTAGTCCAACCTTTTCCCTCCTGGGACCGTCGTCCCCCACCAACAAACCACCAACAAAACCACCAATTTCATAGTACACGAGGGTACCGTACACACACACGGCAACACATGCCACCCAAGAAATACGTGAACCTTACACAAAGGTCAAACCTCCATAATCACGTCACGGCCACCACGAGGACCGCTGCAATACCTTGGTGACTAGTGTCCCATACCACTAATCGTGCAATCCAGGTAAAGCCACACACACATCACACCTCAACAGGAATCAATCAACGGATCACAACGAAGATATGAAACCAGACTCAATCAAGGAATGGATCACAGTCCAACAACAACAACGATGAATAACACAAGTTATCATCACCAAGGAAGGTACAAACAACACACACGCTAGCATTTAAACACCGAACCAGCATGCTTATCAAACGGGTAAACCAAACGTAGTTCCAAAGAACACACAAAACTCATCACGGTTCAACGAAACACAATGTTGAACACTTAACACGATTCAAGACACCAAAACCTACATGGAATCCTACCATATAGTTCTAGACATACGAAACATCAAGAAGACACTCAAATAGTTCCACAAAAGAACATCGGGAAGTCAAAATACCAAATACCGAGTCAAAAGAATCACAGGGAACAAATCCCGAACAACATCACAACACGTACCCGTGGGTAGGCTCACGGGTAGGCCTCTACCAGCGGTTCCGCCCGTGGGTACAGGTCACCTGAAATGTGTACCCCGCGGGTGGGCGGCGGGTTGGACCCCTACCCGGCGTTCCGCCCGCGGGTACACCCCTGTACCACAAATAATCCCTTCGGGGATTTTCAACTCCAAGCTCAAATTCAAGTCCAAAACATATGCCAAATCTCACCCAATACAACAAAATGACGTGAATCAAAGGAAATGCCTAGCAATGGCACAAATGAACCCTAAACACAAGCTCTAGATATGCATTTTCACATGTCAATGCATAAACACTCACATTTCATAGCAAAACACATGTAGAATCCAAGAAATCACATATAGGTAAGCAAAATAGATTTTGTAGAGCA